AGCTGAGAACTTAGTATTTCTTTTTTTTGTGTAGCATTGATCTAATTGTAGAATAGGGCGATCGTTAAACCACTTGTGGGAGTTCCACGCATGCAATAATAGCGGTTCTATTGTTATAAAAAATTCCCGCGTCATGTGTACTGGCCTTATCGACTAATGCGCTTTATTGATAGTTATTTACGTTGGTTTTATTCCGAAAATGGAAATCAATTTTGATATTCAAAATAACTAAGACTTGTTCTGGCTGGACCCTTTATAGATACTATCTTACCAGTTGTCTTGATGTCATCATACCTGCTTATTCTTTTTAACACTAGAAAGACGGGAAAATTCATCTACCTACAAAGACGGCGACCGGTCAAATGACTGCCCCAATTTATTTAATTTTTTTTATTATTTATTTGCTAAAATTAGTAACTATAGTAATGAAACAGAGTATAATATATAATTATTTATTTAATTCACATACAATTTTTACATTTTAAGATTTTATTTACGTTACAAGGGCCGCAAAGTGGCTTTTTGCAAGAGTCGCATAATTTATTTGTTTTATTTTTGCACTTTTGCATATAGCATTCTCGCCTTTTTCGACTTTCCGGATTTTGAAGTGTAGATCGAGAAGTAGAAGGTGTTGGTTCTTTGGGCGATAGTTCGGTTTCAGAGGGTCTCGGTTCAATTTCTACTTTGCCGCTAAGTTCACTTGCTAAACTTAGTATAAAATTCCTTCGTTTTATGTTGGTGCCTGACATTTTCTTATATAAAATGAAGGAATTTATCCCTGCTAGGTCCAAAATATTGAAAAATACCTGTACAGGCCACCTTCGAGATGCTGCTTTGACACTATATTTTTTTGCCATCTGGTCAGCCACATCCACGCCGTACTTGGTAGCATTGTAAAAAGTCACAGTTTCTGGCTTTTTCTTAGGATGATTTGAATCTATTTCAACATTGTCATGTAACGTGCTGAGCAATAAAACGTTCTTGTTTCGTTTTCCTTGATAAATCGTAAGAGTACATCTATCAGATTTCAGAATTTTTGTTTCAAACAAAGTCATATGAAGTGATTTGACGTAAGGTGGAACCTCTCGTCGTGCCCTGTTCAAAGTTCCTACAATTGTAGTGCGTTTTGCGAGCAAGTTATTTGCCAAGCTCAACGATGTAAAGAAGTTGTCAGTGGTTACATTCCGACCAGTATTTGCAAAAGGTTCCATGAGACGCATTACAACGGATTCACTGAGGCTTTGATTTGGTGGCCTGCTTTCATCTTTTCCTAAGTAAGGAAAGCCGTTGAGTACAAATTTTGAATCTACATCAACACAAAGCCAAAATTTAATTCCAAACTTATCAGGCTTGTTAGCAATGTATTGAAGAAACCTGCATCTAACCTTAGTAGAAAACAGTTGTTCGTCTACTGTAACGTTTTCTCCCGGCTTGTAGCACGATAAACAGTTCTCAATGAATTTCTTCCAAACGTCTGATATTAGTGCGAATTTGTCTTGTTGAAGTCGTGAACTTCTCTCAGATCTGTGATCAAATCGCAAATACTTCATTATTTCTTTGAATCTGTCACGTGACATAACTTTTGAAAAAAAAAAATTCCCCAAGTTTTACTCCACAACTCATTTACTTGAATATTTTTTGCACCGTATGCACCTCGAGCATAACATATAGCGATCAAACTTTCCAGTTATTCCAAAGTTAGTATCCAGTTATTGTGTCCTAGTTGTCTATTAGCTTCTTCTATAGTACACTTCTGAATATGTCTCAATATAGATTCATCAATCAAAAGCCTCCACGAGTCTGACAAATGTCCCTTGAAATTTCTTTTTGCATATGAGGTAGGCCCTGCTTGCTCAGTTATAATATTGTGGCGTGCCCGGCGACCACTTTGAGTAGATTCCATTTGAGGTGTCCATGAGGTACCGTCGATAGAAGTGATAAGACCTTGAAGCTCAGAATCTTCCAAATTATGACTCCTACCACGACCTCCACCACGAGCACGGCTGCGACCGCGGCCACGAGAACTCAACCTGTCAACGGTTCGTAAAGTTGCTAGAGGTATCTGATCTTCCAGGTCACTTTCATCCGTAGAGGAACTCGAACTGATAAATGGTACATTATCATCCTCACTACCCCGTTCTTCACTCTCAGACCCACAATCCGATTCATCTTCACAAATATTTTGCAATATTGAAAGGATTTCTTCATTTTGAAGGGCTCGAGACATTTTTCACGAATCACTTACAATAATTCTGACAAAATTGATAGGCAGTCGTAACTGTACTGACTCATTTGACCAGCATACTCCAAACAATGGACAGAGCGCACATTATTTCGTATTCTACCTTCTCATATTACAAATAAATACTTATCCGATATCAACCGTCAAATGACTGCCGCCGTCTTTGTCGGTATATCAAGATTTTAAACAATAAACAAAAGAGACGAGAGTTATTTTCATACATAGTTTCATTTATCTAGTAATATTAATAAAAGTCATAAAGTCTCAGTACATAAAGTTAAATAGTTTTTGAGTTATTCAAAATTTAAAATCAAATTACAGTCAAATGACTGCTTCCGTCTTTCTGAAATCTTCAGCATATCAAGCTACATGCCAAAAGATTTTAAACCTGACAAGGATTTATCAGATTTACCTACATAACCTGTGCGCTGTTGACTGTACAAAATTCACGATTACAAATGGTTTTAATATAAACGATTCATTTCAAATACGTTCAGTATAATTTCATCGCGAAACAAAATAAATCTTTATGGGTTTTAAAAATGGAACTCTGCTTGATAGCTGTAACTGCATTTTTTATAATAATGCCAATTTTTAATAACATATAACATGCAGTGCTAGTTATGAACCCAAATATCCCACTTCTGGTAATATAATAAAGCGTGTTTTAGTTCTACTTACATAAATTGTGATTTCTTTGTGTTGCATCTTTTTCTATTCTACATACCAATATCTTCCTGAGATCCCATACTTTTCTCCCTCTTCTCTCGCTCTACTTAATCAGCTCCATTTCCTACCGACGTAGGCTAGGGAGCTGTTCGAACTATAGAGAACTGAGCTCCATGAAAATAATTATTTTTTACATAGAAATATTTTCGCTTCCTCGACGTTCATTGTTCTTTTCATATGTATATGTTATCCGGTTAATGGCTTCTGACATCAGCTTTTCGTTATTGTTGTAAATGTAAAGAATACACTTTCTTTGCCAAAATTCTAGTAATGTTGCAAGTAATGTTGCTAACCTTGAATTCACAATGTGCGCGGCTTTGTTCATTGTTGCCAATCATAATTTAGTACGGGTCTATTGTTTTGTTTTGTTTAAACCACATCTGTCTGTTAACTACATTATTTAAATACCGACTAATTATAAATTAGCATTGAAACTTTTGTTTACATCACGAATCGGTAATAGAACTTGAAGTAAAAAATAATGTTCAGCTATAGTAATTTCAAAGACCATCGTCATATCTATTTTTGAAATATATTATGTGTTTATAGGTGTGTAATGAAGTCGTCATCCGATGTTAACTTTAAGTAATATTTGAAATGTAGAAAAGTTTCTCCTTCACTTGCAAATTAGTTTTGATGAAATGTAACACACAGATTGGAAGAACTAGCTTTTGTTAATATTAAGAGTAGTAATAAAAATAACAACTATTTTCCTTTGTCTCAAAGGAAATCTATAGTGAAGTGTTTACGTATATACATAAATTAATTAAAGAGGGCATACAAAAAAGTGACATACATAAATAAATTAATTGTATAAAACAAGAACATAACTCATTAAACTTAACCTTTACAAATATACCGAGATAATATAGTTCAACCATGCTCGAATTACTGTCCGGTCCATGTCGTCTTATTTAAAAGAGCGTCTAAGGAACATATGGGAGAAGCCAATTAAAATTCAATTAATTTATTCAGTCTTGACTGTTACAAAAACTTATGAATAGCGAAAACTATGTCATCGGTTAAAGGTAAGCTTTGCATATGAGGACCTTCGTGGTCTAGTGTCTCGCTCACCTATTATAAAGTGATAAATTGACAACTAAATATATATATCTGAATCACTTTGTGACCTAGTCGTGTAATTGAAAAATTATACAATAATCGTTTGCAAATAATACAAAAATACATATGAATAGGAGGAGGTCGATAGCGCAATATTTATCTCGATCTAACTGCAATCCTCTGCAGTAGGCAACTTTAAAGGACCGGTCATAGGATGGTCTTTAGCCTATCAACCCACACTGAGTCCGCGTATTGGGTTATGGGCCGCTTTCCTTATTTGATTCCATCCTTGGTGATGGTCTGCACTCATGCAGTGGAGATATTAATAGGCTATTGATGAAAGTAGTTTTTCGAGTTATATTTTACGTCTTTCGTCTTCGTCCATGATACGCAGGTATTGTGCAGGCATAATTAATAATGCAACAGTCCACGTAGTACGATAAAATGAAAATGTCACTGCATTAAATATTCAGCTGTTTAATACTCGTCAAGAAAACCCGCTTCCTATGCATCTCATTTATGAATATAACTGGTTCACCGTGCCGTCTACTTAAGATTATATTTACACATTTTCAAGTCTGAGAAGCCTGATAACCTTAATGAGGCTCACTATAAAGTTTTCCTTGGGTGTTATTTTAAATATTATAACAAAGTTAAAATGTTTTTATGTAATTGACAATGATTTACCTTGAACATTTTTACTCGATCAATATAGGTTAATAAAGGCACTAGTGAAAATCAAATAACGATACCATTATTTGTTAATCATTTTCTATGATGAAATTACTGACAAGTTGATTAGCAAATGCCGCTTCCTTCTGCCTGTTTTATTTCTAGCTAAAGAGTGATTTAATTTGACCGTTAATTCTCTTTGAAATATTCACGAATAAAAATTTACAAACAACATATAGTTCCTTCTTTAAATGTACAGATATTTTGTATTAAACATATGATTTCTTTGTTTCAGTGAACCATACATTGGCGAAAATTTGACGGGGCTCACGATGGCACTAGCGCGCGGCAAAGTCGCCCCGATGGACGTAGTCAGAATAGAAACTAAGACCAAGGTAAATAGTTTTGATATTGTAATTTATATTTTAATTAAAACTTTTATGGAGTGCATGGAAAGAAATAGTATAAACAATTAAAGTACAACTAGCATAAGAAAAAAGTAGGAAAATAACGTCCTGTCACTGATAGGAGAGACACGTTAAAGTAATCCAATAATCTCTCATCTTTCTTTGGTTACACGCGCTTTAGTGTCGTCCTGTCTCCGTGCCCGACGATACCAAAAAATCACTAGTATGTATGTAGCCTTATTGCGACTACTTTAACATGAAGTAACATTCAACTGCGGAGCAGAGGACGGCAAATAAAATTGTTTTATTGGGCTGTATAAATCCTAAACTGTAACCTAAATTACTGCTAAAAGCTGATTATTAAATAATAATAAGATAACATTATCAAAACACACGTCCGATGAATTACTTAGTAACATAAGTCACAGCGGGCTCATAACGAATTTATGTATACTATAAAAATAGGTAGTCGTTTGGCTAATCCGATTAGTGTGTTTTGGTTTCGATTCGTGTTGCCTTTTCATTTTGATCTTTAAAATCGTATCGTCACGGCTTGAAGCCCGGCCTGAAGGCATAATTAATATTAGACTTTTTAGTTGATCTAGTAAATAAGCTTTCGTCTTCTCGTCTTGATCCCATAGTTATTCCTCCACTATTGATTTCGTCTTATTATAAACTTAAACAGCTTTTGTTTCTTTTCGCGAAATAATATTTTAGACTGCATTATATTAGATTCGATTTAAATCAACTGATTAAAAATGTGGTAGCAAATGTATAATACAATAGATTACTTTAAATTGTTTTATAAAGATATTTATTTATATTAACAAATTGAAAATTATGATTGTTTTCATTTATAATTTATGTTGTTTTGTTGTCCTTGAATTAGTATGCGAGTTCTTTCAACAACTATCAGTAAAATTTGAACGACGAATGTAATTAACTTTGTCTAAAACAGAAAATATGTTTTTTTTTTACTAGACGAAAGTATTAAGATTTCGGAAATCACGCAACTTTGAAAACCTTGTCTTATTAGGGTTCCGTTACTCATAAGGAATAAAACCGGATAAGATCAGTTATTGTTCATCTGTCAAGACTTAAAATTAAAACCCTTTATTCAGATTACCCTTTAAATTAAATTAATTTCTAAGTCAACGTCACGTAATGTACGGTTCTTTATTCCGCAAAAGTATTATAATAAAAGTTTTCATCATAAAAATTTACGGAGTTATGACAAAAATCGGCTGAGTCGTTGGAATTTTTTCAAAAAAAAAACAAATAACCCGACTGCGGGAAAATAGAAGAAAGAAGTGAAAAAAAAAATTACTTTCACTCAAAACCAAAAGATAGAAACAAGCTCAGTAGTTTCGAATGTTATTAAGTACTACTGAATTTATTATCAGTATCAGTAATTATTCAGTTTATATTTATATTTCATCTGCATGCAAGAGGTACCTTTTTATTAGCCCTTCAACCCTTATACTCTCTGAACGTGAGATTTTAAAAATTTTATGATTCACGTGACATTATAGCTTATACAAAATTTTATTAAAGTAACTGAAATAGCTTGGAAAGGGACCGAGTTATCCTTAAAAAAAAAACAAAATTAAGATGAACTTTTGTTAAATATTATAATTAAAAATGCCTAGACCTGCTATGGCATACGTATTTTATTTATAAAAACTATACCATGGTACCTGTTATTATTGTATATCGTAGCTAAATGCTAGTTTTAATAATTTCACAGTAAATTCTATTGATTTCTATTCTATAGCTTTTAAAAAACCTCTATACTCATTGCCATTAAGTTACTTTCCATTTTCCTTTGTACAAATAAAAAGTAATTTATCCAAAGTTTCATTCGTGTCGAGTTGCGTTTGCATAACTCGAACTTATTGAATTTCAACTCGATATTAATCCGAGTTCATTCATCATCCATAACAACATTGACAATTCTATTCTCTTTGGTCGAACGTCATGAATTTGAACGTCAAGAATGACATTTCGATCCTACAATTTGTGTTGCCATCTAGTGACATTTTTTTATATTTTCTCATTCAAGTTAGAATATGAAAGGGCTAGTTAGATGCTCATATTTAAAAATATATTCTAGAACTATTTGGAACTACCTACTGTACGGACCATGGGTGGACGAGCCAGACTCGCAATTGTTGGGTTTTTTAAAAGAAGATAACAAAGTTTTTTTTTCTTATTGTCCATTTTCCGCTAAAGTTGTTTGTTTTTTTATTTTGTATTCATGATGATGACGAATGTCGCTGTCACTGGTTTTAATAGTTAATTATGTGAATATAAATAACTTATTCATTAAATATCCTTTTTTGAGTCATTTGTAATTAAATATCTTCGTGCAACGGCTTATATTATAGATAGCTATGCGAAAATTATAGCTTATGTCACCTGCGTATGACGAAGCTTCTTGTTCTATAAAATAAATTATAAAATCAGTCCAATAGTTTCAGAGCCTATTCAGTGCTAATCAACAATTAAATCTTTCATATAAGTATAGAATAATATAGAATGTAAGTATAGAAACTTTACAGTTTAATACCGTTGACCGTTGTGTTGTTTACTGTATCTACCTTATTTATAATATGTTGACTACTTCATATACAGTGGTGGCCATATAATTAAAAACGATTTCTAGTTAAAGAATGTTTTAAATAAAACTTGCCCTATTTTTTTAAATGTTACTTTTTGTAAGTATTTACTTACGCATTCAGAAAGACAGTTAGTTAAGATAAACTAAACTTGGATAGACATATAAAATTAGCAACTATTTTTTTGTAAAAGTTTATTTATGTGGACAGTTTTATAGTATATGATAATGTAGTTGGACAAACAATTAGAAACGATACTCTTAAGCTGTTGGTAAAATGTTTAAAATAAAATACTTGTGTAATTGTATTGTTGTAATATAAAAAATGTACATTAAAAAGTAATCTAATTGTCTTCAGCATAGGATAAAATTGTTTCTTCCAATATATTTTTGCATTGAACTTGATCCATGTTTCCTTCTATAAGCCTAATAGGTCCAATTCTATGACCAGAGAAGCAGCCCTATATTTTCAGTTTGCCACCACCATGTTTTGAATTCACCTTAGTAAACTTAGGGTCAAATGCCTTATTAGAGGGCGACGTACGTATCGCCTTCCATTTTCAGGTTACATACTTTTTTGCAAAGGCGAGCCAGACTCGCCTTTGGCACCTATGGCATAAACGCCTTCGAATAGTGCGTGCCGAGATCGCAGAGGGGTTTCTTTCGCCAAAATATTCCTTTCGTATCTCGTTAGAATTTTTGAAAGGATTTAATTTCGCCAAACGGATGTTGTTTCTGTCGTCTCGAAGAGATGTTTTTCTCGGTCATGGCATGCGCGGAATATTTAAAGTACTTTTATAAGTTTTAAAATGATTCACAGCATCGAAGATCATGGTTTCTGAACATTATAGATAAATGGTCAGCTATTTTTATAAGACCAATTCTTCTCCCAAAGTTTACAAGGGAGATTATATTTTTAATAAAACTTGATCATATTTATAATCTCCCTTGTAGATTGGTTGGTGAGAAATTACGTTCCAATTGTGTTTACACTACTAAATAGCGGCATTTTTATGAGAAAATAGTATAGAGTGTACACTTTGTTTGAATTTGAATAAAAAAAAATAATAGATTGCGTTCTTAATTATATGACCAGCAGGTAAGAAGTAATTCTTGGATTATATTTACGTTTGCATAATTTATACTTTTTTTATTCGTGTTTTAATTAATTTAATTTATAGAAGAAAGTACCCACAGTGTAGAAAGATTTTGGAGCACCACAGTAATAAAAAAACATGCAATAAGCTATACGGTTTTTTTTTAAGTAAAAGTACTATTTTCAAGGGAGCGTTCTTAATTATATGGCCTCCACTGTACGTTGTACCAAAAAGTACATATAAACTTATTTGAATAATAATCTGTAGATGCTTTTATGATTAGATCGACACCTTAATAATGAATAAATCAAAGAAAAATAATTTCTGTGATTAGTTTTTTTTTTGACGAAGGGAGAATTGTAAAATGTTAACCTCCCTTTTTATTTTAAATAAACAAACATATTACTTCAATAATTAATAAATATAAACGCGCGTTTGTATTTTTGCAGTTAGGTTTTGCGGGAGATTTCTGCGTTAATAGCTCTGCGACCGGTACAAAGGTTTGAAAAGACTTGATTAAACTCAACAAAACCGGTATGGTGTTTCGTGGCCATATCTCGAATATAATGGAAAAACCTTTACTGGCGCGATTGCTCATAGGAGCCTCATATTATGACGTCAACTGTACAAAATACACTATAAATTAATTCCCTTTAATTATACTACTACTTGCGTTTTACTTGTAGTTTTGATTTATAAAAAGCTAGTTGTTTAAAAGAAAGAATTTTATAATTCAACCCAATAGTTTCGTAGTCTATTAAATGCAAACAAGCAAATGTTTCTTTTTAGTATAAACGCAAGATACAAGTTAAGCAAAGTTAGAAATTTGTATTAATTTATTGTTATCCTGTTTGTGACGTCAAAATTTGGTTTTTACAATGAAATCAGTAATAGGTATCTGATAAATTTGATGTATATCCGTTATTTTATTTTATATTAATTGAAAAATAATGATACGATTTAAAAACTTATTTCAAGGAGAAGAGAATAAATGGTTTTTCAAAAAGATTCACCTAGCACATTAGTCATTAGTAAAGCGTGATCATCTACTCTGAAACATATTAGCGCTTAAAATTTAAGCTTCTAATCCGTTTTATATTAATGACATTTCTTTGCTTGTTTCAAATTTTAGCAGTTTCGGAAAAGTATTTCAAAGATAAATGAGAGCACTAGAAATCTATACCAAAACTACAATTTTGCTTAAGGCTGAGCAAAAGACAAAAAAGAAAACGAAACAAAATCAATGCGTCGATCAACGAAATACATAAGAAAGGGAGAGAAGAAAGCGTATTATAGAAAAAACCTATTTTTAATTATTTAACAATTGGTAAAAACAAATTAGATGAATTTAGAGGATACTTTTAACTCCTCCAAAGCTCCGAATTCGGCCCCAATGTGACCCCCTCCCCCTCCTTTTCTACTGCTTTGTTGCAATCACTTTTATAGTGTTATTAATAAACAAAGTTTAGCGTTGGAGTAAACTTAGGCTGAGTCTGCATTTAGTATTTGTCAAAATTCATATTATTAAACAGAGACTTAGCAAAGGTTAACCCAGTAGGAGGTTCTATGGGAATAATATTTACTCCTACAAGGTATGTTTGCTTTTTCTGTATAATTTGAATTTAGACTAATACTAAAATTGTAATTTCAGCGTAATTTTACTCTGACGCTAAACCTTGTTTATTAATAACACTGTTAGAGTACTTCCACGTAGCTACAAATTCCAGTTTATATTTAATTCGCCCTCACATTGATACTTTTCAGTTGTTTTGAAATATATGGATATGTATCTGCAATCAGTTGTCTGTTGCAGTTCTTAACCTATTTACTCAACCCACTGATTTAGTTCTTCCTTTGTTATATCCGTTAATAGTGATCGTTGTAGAAGGAATATGTGACACACACAACAAACATTACCGATTTGTATAGCACTATTCAATTGACTACGTCCGCCGATAAACATAGTTCTTTGCTTGCGGAATAGTCTCGTGAACAGCTCTGAGTTTGACGACACGCAACAAAGAAAATTAAAACCTTGACTCACGAACTTAGCACATTATCTTTTATCGAGTTAATCACATTACAATAAATTTGAATGTCATCTTTTTATCAAACGATTGTCTCAATCCCAAAGAGGCAGATCTACAACATCTGAGAAAATGGAGAAAAAATTACAAAAATATAATAAATTAAAACTAAAGCTTGTTTTAGTAGTTTGTTATCCTATTGATTATGGACCCTAAGATAGCAAACATCAAAACATTAGTCATTACTATTTTCAGATATGTGTATTTTACTCATGTTCAATTTGATGTTCGCTTCATAAAACAAAATAGTTTCAGATGCATAGAAACTGTTAATAATTTCTTTTTAATTTTTTTAGGCTTACATTGTTTTCCTTGAGATCTCAACTCCAATACCGTATTGAAACGTAGAATGCACACTTCAATACCGTATTAAACACACACACATCACACATACATTGTGTGTAACAAATAATACATACATACTGTAACAATACAGTAGGTACCTATTGAGTGTATTTAGATCAATGTGAAGAAGATCAATGTAATTGTGTTTACGCGGTAAAACCGATACGCTCTGTTTCTGAATTGAGAATTTAAAGTTTAGCACGTCTCAAACCGTACTTAAACTGTCTCCTCGTATCTGATTTTTTTTGATGATCAGATGATAGCAGTGTGATAAATCTATGATTTTTTGCCGTGTGAAACATAAAAAGCTTAAGTAACTGAGAATAATCAGTTGAGGTTTTGTACTTTTCTCGATTTAGAATCCGACCGATAGTCCAGACTTTATATAATTAAGGAAATCTGCTTTATGCTAGTGTCTTACGAAGTAACTCTGTTTGTCATTTCAGATCATGTTTTCATTTCTATCAGTCGGTTGGGGTTTGCTGTCCGACATCGATATAGAGAGTGAGAGGTTACGAGCAATCGGCGGTCACAGGTTCACCGTATGGGCGGCTGCGCGTCTTGTCGGCCTCAGGCGTTACAAGGGCGTTCTTAGTTACGCTAAAATTAAGGATGTGAGCAATCTGCCCAGACCGAAACTACCGCTCACCCTAAGCCACAGCATAAGTCAGGACGGTGCGCTCGATTCCCCTGATGCGGAAGCGTTCATTGATTGTGACGAACACGCGGACGTATTTACGAGCACTGTGAATGGTAAACATCAGCGCGTGGACTCTTGGTATTCGGTAAATTCGCGTCGAAGCGCGTTTTATAGTACACGCGGTTCGGAGTATCACAGTGTCACCAGTGGCGGTTCGGAAATGAGGTCGCCGGTTCACGCCTGTATGCATGGCCCCGCCCCACATCTGCCATCTTTAATGTCACATCTACCTTCACATTGGGTACATGAGCAGGGCGAATTTATAATGGTGCATATAGCGTATCAGCAATTTATAGGAGAGGATTTCCTGTTCGCGCCACGTTCGCAACTCTCTGATGGAGTGATATGGATGTTGGTCATTAAAGCGGGAGTCTCCAGATCGCAGCTCCTCTCCTTCCTTCTAGGAGCTGGGCAGGGTACTCACGCTGAAATGAATAATGAATATATAAAGATGATACCGGTCAGTGCATTTAGAATTGTACCCGAGGGCACTGAAGGTTATCTAACGGTTGACGGTGAATGTGTCGAGTACGGTCCTATTCAAGGTGAGATATTCCCCAATTTAGTTAACATCTCAGTGCCAGACACAAAGATATAACTTACGAATATTTTAATTGTTATGTGGATTATTCTCGAACCGTCTGAATATTGGTATCAGAAAATAAACCGAGCCGATTTTGTTGCCATATGCCAGAGAGGATATAACCGCATACGAAAACTATGGTTGTGTCAGAAAATATCTAAATTTTACACCCAAAGTATAATTCCAATATCGTAATATGTGATTTGATCATTCCAATTACGTCGCTCTACGACTAATCAGTAAAGACTTTTATTCATAGGTACCTTTATATCTTGTTGATAATTATTTTGTTGTTTTATGATTATGTAAGTGTGATAATATTTTAAGTAAATTTAATAAACAAAATTCGTTTAGTGACTAGTCAAACCTTCGAAAACTAAGTGAGTGCCAAATATTTAGCACCGTTTCTTTTTTTAATTATTGGTAATCAGGAATTTTTGAAAAGAATGAAGGTACATTGATTCCTATTTCCTAATTATTATAATTTTATTTTATTTATAAAAAGTAGCTTGAAGCGATAGTTTTTTTGCAATGCAATAGTAATAATTTTTTACCTATATTTAATTTTGTTATAAACATTCTTGTTCTTGCATATAAGATTTAAATATCTTTTTTAACAATTTATTATTGTTTTTTAAATGTCTATAAGGGATTTTCCATTTTATGTTAGTGATGGTTAATGAAATTTATTCTTATTACGTAATAATAATTACTATAAGTTTACAGGGATTAAAATGGGTTTGGTTCATGTTATAGTGTGTACTTATATGGTGTAGTTTGTCGCATATAAGGCAATAATATATCATGTGGCTTATTATTTGTAAAAGGTGAGAAGATATATGGGTTCCAATGGGCAGTATTACTAATTTATTATAGTGTATTATTTTTAAATTCTTCTGTGATGATAGTCATAAAATTCTGCCATAATGGAGCTATGTTACAGAGTTCAAATATTGAAACCCCAGTTGCCTAATAAAATAAACTGTTTCGGTTAAAAAACATGTGATAATTTATAAGATTTAAATTTTCTTAAATTTCCGTGATTGAGATCTTGCCAATCTTATGTTTTTATCTTAAATTACCTATATAAAAGAATCAAGTTTTCAAAGAGTTTTCATCATATCAGATTAGCACGATATAAAGAAAAAGCAATCCATTTTAAACTTTTATTAAGGCTTAACATCAAGTGGAGCAATAAGTTTTTATATAACCTGATATGTTGTTGACTATGCAGGGTATAAAGGAAATTGACCTGCGGGTCTACCGTGTTAGTACCCTTACATCGACTAACATCCTATTGGATCAACGGCATACAACGTTCAACGTTGTCAACATTCAAAAACACTCAACATTCAATCAAATCACTCAACATTCAAAAACAGTTTTGAATGTTGAGTGATTTGATTCTATCCGATGCATGTTGAAAATCGAAATCGATGTAAGTTCAAGTGTAGTTTCGCCGATCTGACATTAAGTTTGTTATTGATAAAGCGCAATCCGGAGAAATATGGACAAATGGAAACCTTATTTTAAAAGATAAAGTTTAATTGTCGATACGTGGTATACTGTTTTCAAAATTAATGTATACATAAGAGATTATCACGATTTGATTCTGTGTGGTGAGCCTATTCGACGCCGGGACGTCCTGCATAGTATATGGGAATATCCAGGATTTTAACTTATAAGTTGATTTTGTGAATTTACAAACATTTGTACAAATTATGAGCTAGTATAGTTATCACATTTAACAAAGCACAAATTATTTTGTCAGAACATTCTCTTTAATCAATAAAAAGGATGTAAATAATTTTTGCTTATATTTTATTGTTAGATGATAAAAATACTACATTCCAAACATTCAAGTTTCAATATGTCAATAAAAAATATTAAAGCAATGTATTACTGTAAATAAAAGTTTATGAAATTGTTGTCAATAAAATATTTTTTGATTACAAATATATTTTGATTAAAACACCTCTTATTAATAATCAAAATGTTTATTATATAAATTTAGGTTTTCCACAAACCTGATACCTATATCATATTGATATACAAGATACAGTTATAGAAATGTATGTCCTCATCTATTATTTGGTGATGACAACACATTAGACAACATTCTATGGTAGCAATTCTGTTAAAAAACTAGACTAAATTTATGGTTAGTCCTGTCATTGACTTCAATTTTGAAAATAACTTAGATATGATAAGAAAATAAAACATCATATTGAGATTTGTAATAGGGTTGCCTAACTACTAAAAATACTTAAAAATGCCAGTACTAAAGTAAGATCTCGGGCACCTGGCAATGGCAAATTTTTAAGTATTTATATTATTAAATATCAATATGGCATTGTGAATGCAATATTTATTGAATATAAAAAACCTTTTATTTCATGTTGAATTTCATAAAATTATATATATTACACATGAGGGTAGTCTGTTTATCTGTTTGTACTGGAAAATCTCAGATTCATCTATATTTTCCCTATTTCTTGTTATATTCTCTGGACTAATACTCAATTTCCATTAATAGCCAGAGGGAGTTGGTAAAAAAGTTAAGTTAGATTTTATTTTAGAGAATGTAGTTCTGTGATCTAGATAGGCAACCTGTTTGCGATTTATATATCTGCATGAAGTTTGTCATATAATCTCTGACATCATCAAAATAAATGAGAATAATACTGCTTTCATAAAACAAAACAGTTATCGTAAAATAATATATTTTATTACATTGGTTAGAGAATTGGTCAAGCTGGCTATATTATGTAAAAAAAAAAAAAATGATTTTGAGAACCACTTTGGCTTATGAGGGCAGAATATTTTTTATACAGTATTTAAGACTACAAGATATATTTAAAATAAACAGAGAAAAGAAAGTTACCTCAAAAATGTTGTGGAATTACTGTGAGCTTTGTGTTACCTAAAATTGAAGATTTAAAGAGTCCTAAAGAGTATATTGTGATTTAAGATATCTGTATTACAATAGCATCATCCATTAAAGACAAACCTATGGATAATTTGACTTTTTCATGATGTATGAACCATTGGTGGTCATTAATGTCTCAGTTTTCAACACAGGTATTGCCTGTGTGTTAAATAGCTACAAAAAGGGATCAGGCCATAATTCTCTATAAAATGTGTGACATTTTTCCCAGCCATATTTTCTAAAATTATCATATTATAATTTCAATCAAATGCAATGAGATCAAAATTAGATTTGAGAATATTGTTAAGAGTAAGAATTTACAGATTATAGTAACCAGGTAGTAACAATAAAAAAAAAGCAAAAAGTTTCACTATACAGACAGGAATTCTGTTATTAGATAGAAATAAAAACATATCTAATTAATATTTGTGCTCACTCTTTACAATATAGTATTGATTTACGAAAAGTTATAAATCAATCAAATTTTCATATTTTGGGGGCAAATTTTGAATGCTTATTGAACAACAAGCAGTCAATTTACTTCTTACAACTAGGTAGAACATTTTGATATTAATCACTGTCAGCTTAACACTTCCAAATATAAACAAGGACATGTCAATGTAAACAGTCTTCTAAATATTTAAATTTTTCTAAAACATGGGCGCTTTATCTTAACTTTAACGAATCCAGACTGTCTAGCAAGTTTTGAACTTCAGAATCTACTTGTTCTCGAGTACTAACACGTTCCAGCCTTTCGCGGACGGATTCCAAGTCACCTGCATCTGCTCTTTGAATTTTCATATACTTTAGCATCATCTCCACGACAAGACAAATCTCGCCAATAAGTTGTTTAGTTTCTTCGAAATGTCCCGCTCCACTGGGTCGCATCTGTATAAGTTTTAGCTTACTCTGAGCCAATTGCACAGGATTCCGCCCAAATCTATCATTGGCACTCACATCAGTTCCAGCATCGAGTAGTTCAATAACCACTGGTATATGGCTCGTACATGCAGCAAGATGTAGGGGCGTATTTCCTAACGTATCTTTTATATTGGGATTAGCACCGTGTCTTATTAAAGTCTTCACAACATCAACATACCCGCGACAAGCAGCTAAATGGAGTGGACTTCTTTTAAATTCATCCGATGTATTCGGATCAGCGCCAGACGACAATAACTTCTCCACTAGCTCTGTATTGTTTGTTGATGCAGCAAATCGTAATTTTTGGTTTCTTGATGAAGTTATGGTTGCCCCACATCGGTATTTGTTTAATCTGTATTGTCGTCCTTTTGTACAACATTTAATTTTACCGATATGATCATGAGGTTCACCAAAAAATTCTATAGGCATTGGTTGCCCAACTTGATTTATAGGAATCGCGGGTGCGTTAAATTCCAATATACATTGAGAATGGTCGAATACAGGATTATCACTGCTCTCGTTACTAGTATCTACTCCAGAATCAGTCATGTTCTCAGTTTTAATTCACGTTGGCATAGTAATAATAAATGTTGTTTTGTCTATAAAACACTTGAATGAATAGTAAGGTAGATATATAAATCCTTAGAAATCCAAGATAAATTCGTAACGTCAAAAAAAAATACTGCCTAATTTTCTAATTTTTTTTTTTAATAAAGGTTTTACCGGCCCTGGCTTCCATGGCCTTCAGCCGTCTAATTTTCTAAAGCAGTTTTCCACAGACCACAAACTCAAACCACCCAGAAAAAACAGATACTTTTTTTTTCAAAAAGATTTTACCGGCCCTGGCTTCTATGGCTTTGAAAATAAAAATACGATCAGCAACACAGATCACCTACTTTAAGGCCACTCCATACCACCGTTGACCTATGTATTTTTTGACCACTACTGTGATCCAAGAAGTACCTATACAGGATGTTTGGAAATACATGTATAATCCCGAAACATGGCCATACAACCTAGCCAAATAACACAATATGTCAAAAAACAATTTCACGTAAATTGAGATTTTCATACAAATATTTGAACAATTTGTTTTCAATTAATATGCCACAACTCTGAACCTTACATGTGCCATCCCGGCGTACTCGCTCTCTCTCTCTCTCATTACTTCTCACTCTCTCTCGATTCCTAGAATACACTTTGATGTCGCCGACGCGCGCACTCGACTGTGAGTATACTTGTAATTAAAACAATTTAGGATTAAACAGGTACATACCTAGAGGCAGCATTATAATCACTCTTTCAGCTCTCACTTGTCAACATTACCTACACTTCACCTCCAATTTATCAGTCCAGGGTCTCGATATGCCGGCCACCGCATAAAACACACATCTCCATTCCACTCGACACAGACCGTGTTACTCTCGAAATCGTATCCTCTGTCTCGATGGAATAGGTGTTCGGCCGGCCTTCCTGTGGCACACTATGGAATGAACCAGTTGTATGTAACCGATTCACAAGTGCCGCGAAGCACCGGTAAGAAGGAAGACGTCGAGGGTTTTCAGATCTTCCTGACACGTGGCGCTTGTCATAAAGCCGCCGAGTCGCAGCAAGATTACCGTCACAAGCACCAATACACATTATAATCTCGTAATATTAGGCATTTGAGTACGAATTCATTGCACTGACCGCACACAAACATAACACACAGGTAAACAGAACGAGTATGAAAAACAAACCAAAAGTCCCGAAAGAACGAAAACGTAAGTTGACCTTTTAAATTCTGAAAACTCACAAGTACGCCGATGAATGTCTCGGACACGACTGAAGCGATGACCAAAACTACATAGGTAATTATTGCAACTCGAACACCAATGTACCTATATCAAAAGTGCACCGATTTAGGTTTCCGCATCATCAAATTCTGTGTTAGGTAACCAACCTAACAAAAAATCGTTATTTTTTATTTAATTAAACAATGAAATTTCAAAGTAACTTATTATAATATTTTTTTTTTTACGGACGAAACTGATAATTAGGCTGTTTACTTATTATTATTATTGTTTTATTTACGCTTTTCACGGTTACAAAAGAAAAAAAGGCCATAATATTAAAAGTGGTAACCTAATTTAAGACCAAGTCATTAACAAAATTATAAAGCATAAAAAAATTATTGATTAAATTAAAAAAGAAAAGAAATATTATTTATTATTAGACCTTTCCATTATAACTAACCTTTATTTAATTATCGTTTAACTAAGAATAAGCGAGATATTTAGATTATTAATATCATTTTATTAGTTCGATTTTATTGTTTAAAAAATAACAAAACTTCAAAGCAATTAATCTATAGACCCTTACTGACCCATCAGAAACCCGAGTTTCTCAATACACATCGACGTCGATTTTATGTCTCTGTCGCTCCTTCTTGCATAGACTAATGAGAGCAATAGTGCAGATATCTAACTTCAATCAAAGTATTTGCAATTTCTTTTTTATTTTGACTGTATTATTAGAGAAGTTTTCTTAATAATAGTTTTTGAAACACCGTTAATCACAAGATTGGTGTTCTTTTATGGTTAAAAGTCATTTACTACTAACTTTTTCTTTGTTTTTGAAATAATAAATTACTCTCGGATGCATATTTATTCTAGGCATTTATCTTTAGATTAATTTAACTTCTGTTATTTTTTAAACTAGTTCTGATGTCGATGACCAAATACATCATGTCATGTGCAGGGTTTCAGACTTAGTGATATTTTTTCTGGGTTCTATTCATCATACCGTATGTGCCATATTCGGGATTATACAGGTTTTACCAAACACGCTGTATATTTTCAGTTTCTAGTCATGACATCTTCGATCAACATCAATATTTTGAATTTATGAAACGAAATGCTTCTTTGTTCGTCTTTTTCCTACCATTTCTAGATTAAATTAGACTTTATGCAAGTTTTAGTACAATAGATGGGTGTATGATGAAAGGCAGTATGGTCATAACTAGAGGTGGTTAAATTAGCGCTTAGTGTGGTAATTTAAAACGCTAATCGTACTAATTGTAAGGCGTTAAAAATTTAGTTTGTTAACGCTTAACGATCGTTAGCGCCCGAGAGTCCTGAGACTGAAGCGGACAGTATTCAGTACAGCGTGGGCGCGATGGACGCTTGAACGATTTATTTTCATAGCATGTTAAATATGATCGTGTATCATTAACATATTTTAGTTAGTTGATATTTTTAATTATTAAGATTAAAGGGCGATTATGTGAGGAAAATAAAAAAGGATATGTTAAGTAAAAATTTTTTGTTTTAATTAAATTTTTGACATGTTATAATAACGTGTTGCGAGATTTAGTGTACTGCTTGATTTAATGCGTTTGAAGCGCACCCTTTTTGTTATGTACTTAGCGCGTTACTTAATTAACACGCAAATTTTTCATAGCATTTAGTCTTCAGTGTGTTAATACCACAGAAATAAATCTAGTTAGAAGGAAAATGTTCGTCGATTTATATGGAGACCGAGAGTGCCACATTTTGTGTAGGTATCATGACGTCACGATCTTAATTTAGTGATGGAAGACATAATTTCACTTGCATCGAATACATGTTGTATTTGAAACGGCATACCGATTCTTATCGATTGAAAAAACGATATCGATCGACGGAGACCAACGTGTACAGTCTGTCTATAAAGTCATGAAAAGAATGTTTGAGGAACTAACATTAGACACAAGTATGACAACACTGAATCAAAGTACATCGACTGTCAACAACTTGATTTTTTAGCTCGATTTTTTGCATTTTCGATTTGTTTTGATTAAACTGAAGCTACTTCTTCTAAACTCCGTCGAAAAGTGTTAAAAATGAAGAGAATTAATCAGAGTGATATTATTTATAAAGTTTTTCAGTGATGTTTATTGGAACAAGAAGCTGGACACATTTTATCATATTTGTAGGATGTTAAAGCTCGAACGGCAGTTATGGCTGGTATGTAATCGTGTTACTGATTGAGTTTTGGTTACCAGAAGTTTCAAATTTACTAAATATATGAATTTAAGTCTAAAAGAAGTATTGGTTACATTATGCATTTATAGGTTAGATTGAAAATGTTAGAAGGCTATATTGTAGTGCGGCCCGAACTTTCAATACTTTTGGACAATCAAATTTATCATTGATTTTAATCTGAATAAAAAATATACCTGTTAGGAATGTACGATTTTAACCTACGTACACCAATAAAAAGTTTGTGCTTTATATTACTAAAATTATAGCATTAATTTGATCATTGTGGCGATTCCATTCTTTTTGCCAAATACCTATAGGTATTACATTTTTAAAACTTACTTTCAGGAAAATCAGAGAATATAGTGATACGTATTGTAGATGAAGGTTATAAAAATGGTGGCATATTTGAAACCCCTGGGAAACATAGATAGTCGTCCTAAGAAATAAATGGTTAACTGCAACATTTGTGCACTTCGACAAAAGATTCAGTTCTTTTACTCTGTGAAAAAAAGAGGTACCTACATGAAGAAAACATCAGTGGATTGCCAAAACCGATCTGGATTTTAATTGTAGCCTAGAAGTGCTGCGTTAAATTCTGAAATATATTGGGTTTTCTTACAAGGAGTGTCAAAGTAACAGGCTTTAATCGAACACAAGCACACATTGCAGTAAAACGAGAAAACAACTTGGCAATTATAAAAAAAAAGATTTATCAAAAATTACGATTACTATATTGTAATCTTCAATGTAGAATAAACTCATTGTCTACGAATTATACGCCTTTCTTTACCTTTTCTGGGGTAATAAAAGTAAAAAAAAAATCCTACTATCATAATCATTTGTCTCACTACACAGACAAATGATTACAATTTTTTCATGACTTTGTAGACAAACTACCATTTTGCTTAAATATTATGTATATGTCACGAACTCACGAATGTAATTTAGTGAAATCGGCATTTTTCTGTGGGCAAACACTTTGTAGTAGCCGCTACCCCCTCCCGACACACTACACATTTTTACGTCCTGTGTTGTTATGTTATGTTTCACGGCGGGCTTTTCTGCAACTCGATACTCAGTGCCTATTTTGCCCGTAAGATCTCGAACTCTGCCGCATGCTTCCACTAGTATCCTTGGGCTTCATAGATCAACGCATCATTTTAAATTTCGTCCAACATCGATTGCGATCGAAAGTGGACTGAGCCTCGCGGCGAGCAATGAAGCTGTCTAGACATCGTTTCGGCACGCGAAGTACGTAAACTTTTTCCTTCTAACTAGATATATTTCTGTGGTTAATACATTTTAGTCGTTATGAACAGTTCTAGCTATGACTTTTGCCTGTTCTTAAAAGAACCAAAAAATTCTCTATGGAATGACAGTACTCCTCAAAATGACAGTCATAGAGAAAAATTTTGACAGTTGAAAGCAGTTGAAAGAGTGATAAATTTATTCGGCCTCGAAATAAAAAAGATATTTTTTATTGGCTGCTGCGCAAATCCAGTAAAAACAATGCAGCAGTTAACAGTTTTTATGGTAAGTTGTAAACATAGATTTTAATAAATTAATTAAGTGATCGGATTTCTATCTGGTCGGGTAACCTCTAATCATTTTCTTTACAAGGATATTGAAAGTTCTCGTTCATATATCGATGAGCTCTATTCATCGGATCCAAGCAAGATCGTAGAGGCGTTGGTAACGCTGAAGAATTCAGTGATAGGAAGCAACCGGCAGAAAGGTTCAGTGATACAGCAGGGAGTCGTGCCTCGATTGCTACAGCTCATGTCAGATGATACTTTAGATCCCAATATAAGGCTAGAAGCTACGATCACAATAGGTAATATTTTTATTACAAAATGTTTTTGAGAATGTCCTCTATTATGCGTAAAATTAGCTCTATTCACTCCTACAAATTATTATTCTCTGAATCTCTGTCATTGGGTATTTATTTATATTGCTGTTTTAGAGTTATTTTTGATTTGGTTGCATGATGAGTAAATGCAACTTCCACATTGATGTACACATAAGCATTTACCTAGGTAATTAGGAAGAATTAAAATGAAAATAAAAATTGATTGCAAACAGGTTCATTAGCAAAAGGTACTGCTGAGAATGTTAATTCTCTAGTTGAACAAGAAACAGCCACAGCTTTAGTTGAACTGCTGAAAACAGTTCCCATAGAGACTAAACTAGCAGAAGCAGCTCTATGTGCCTTAAGAAGTATCTTCCTGCATCCCCCTGCTCCTATATCGGCTCTGCCAGCTGATATGAGGCTTCTCACAAGACTGACACGTAAGTTCGATTCATATGACGTTTTAAATGGGAATAACAGACGTGAAGTACAGTAGAACCTCGATAACTCAAACCTTGGTAACTTAAAAACCTCTATAACTTCAAAAAATAATATGTTCCCTTCCTATCAGAGCCCAAAACCTCAATAACTTAAAATACGCAACCTCTGTAACTTAAATAAGTAGTCTCTGTATTGGCCCTCGGTAACTTAAAGAAATGCTTCCACAACCTCTATAACATAAAATTGTTTGTCAATGAGTCATTTTGAAAGAGTGTGCAAAACAAAAGCTTTCTGTATTTATTGCTTGCACATGTTCACTAGTTAAATTGTTGACGTAAAAAATACACATGTCACCTAATGTTTGCTTCTTCGAAATTCTTTAAATGGGTTTAGAAACTGTGAATTGTTTAAAACAAAAAAAAAAAATATCACAGACTTTTTACGTGTGCAATGTGAACAAATAAATATAATTATTTAAATTTCTGTATTTTATTGAACCAGTCCTTCTGATGCATTCGAGTAAAAATAGGAACAAGGATACATACACACATATGTACATACCTACCTCTATAATAACTTATCCCTAACATACACCCTTGATAACTTAAAACCTCTATAACTTAAAATATTTTGTGTTTCCCTTGGACTTTAACTTATCGAGGTTCTACTGTTATTTCAAAATTGGGAATAAAGTTTAAACTGTTTTTTTCTGTGCTAAAATGGTTATATTTGTATTGTATGGTAATACATGGTTTATTGGCTTAATGCAATAAGTGGTTTTAAAATTAGGGTGTGTAGCAATACTATAACTATTATTTTAAAATTTTGTTTAAATTGTCAATAAGTGGTGGAATAATAGTCATTTATTTATGAAGCTCTTTTTGAAAAATAAAGTGACTATGATGTAAATATCAGCAATTGAACTTTTCTATTAGTCATACTGTATGTATATTTGCTAGTTAAGGAGTTACCATAAAATAACAAAAAAAATTTACCACCATTATTACCACTATAAAACCTTCTACGATTTCTATAGAGATAGCCCGTGAGGGTTCTGGCACTGCTCGAGCATGCGTGGTACGCATTCTGTCGGTGTGGTGTGGTAGTGTACGAGAGCAGGAAGCATTGTGTGCGGCGGGCGCCTGTGGAGCTGTGGCCGCTGCTCTCGCGCCCTCGCCTTCATCCACACTTTCGCCTTCACGTGCACTATCGCCACCCGCTAGGGTACTTCCCGCCCTGGATCTACTTGCCGCGATGTGCTTCGAAAACCCTACTGTGTCAGAAGTGGCGCTCGAAACAAGGTAACAACAGAAGAACAGTAAACTTTTCCCTTTTCAAAATAAGTATTAAAATTTTGTGAATAAAAGTACAGGAAAAGAGAGCTTCATTTAAATTTGGCTTTGACTAAAACATCATAATAAGCTGACTTGATATCAGTCATAGGTATACTTAAAAATTAACTCCAGACTTTATTAGATCATTTTTTCTTTAATTAATTTATAATATAAAAATTTTAAAATTCATTATAGTTCATATTAAGCTTATTTTTTATATAAGAAATATAAAATAGTAGTTATAAGCACTTGTGTTATAGATATTTAAGATAGTGAAAGTACCACAACATCCAGACTCAAACAATTTCACTCACAGGCAGAAGATCCTATGCTAATTCTATTTTAGACGAGTTTGCGAAAACAGGTAAATGATGAATATCTGTCACTATAACTATTTTCTGCTAAACTTATTTTTGTTATTAAATTAATGACCACCTATTATTGGCCGTGTTATGTTATATTCTGCATTTGGATAATACCTCCTAATCTCAATCGAAGGAAAAACTTTTTTTTCTGAAATAAAAAAAAGTGGTATGTTGTAAAAGCATCTGGCATTTATGACCCTAATATGCCATTAAGGATTTTTGCAACTGCATTGTTAATATAAAGTTCTAACTCTTTAGATTATCTCCTTTGAGTATGATAACAGAAGTTAAAGAGCATGTTTTTTGTAGATACGGCGACAAAAGTATTCCGGAGCTGCTAATGGCTTTGGTGTCTCGTGACAAACCCCTGCCAGTGGCGATGGGTGCCGCGCGATGTCTCACCTTCATACACCGCGCTGGCGCCCTGCCCGCTGATGACAATAGGTACGTACAAGGTAACATGACACTTGGCTTGAATGACATTTGTGCAGTATAACGTAAAAAAATACATTTCATAAATTTTATAATTTCGTATAAATATTTTTTTAAAGAATAACTTAATAATAAATAAAAAATATTGAATGGAATTATAATTTTTGAAATGGCTACAGGCAGCGTGCGTGGTAGCGCTGGGGGTATAGTTCCGGTGTTTTATATTAATTTGTCCAACTAGTAGATCAATGACTAATTTCAATTTTTTTTTATTGATAACACTATAAATTTTTCTTACAGAGTGGTATTTGGGGCCTTACCATGTCTAGCACGTCTATGTACTAAGGAAATTCCAGAAGAAATCCGGGCATCCGCTGCTGAGACTTTAGCTTATTTAGCAGAGGTCAGTGTAATGTACCGATTTCTTACAAGTATGTCTTAACTGTTAGATTCACTGAACAGCAATTAAATTAGAATTAGAAGTAATTGTTACTTATGGATTGGCTTCACTCTCATACTAATTCACATCAATTACATAGAGCATGAAACTCGATTTTATGAATATTTGTCATAAAAAACCTATGTATAAATTTATACAAAAGTTTTTATGTTTTTTTTTATTCATTAAATAAGAGTTTTATTAGTATACTAGCTGTTTTTCTGCTCGCGTAAATTATAGTTTATCTCACTATTGTATAATGTAGTCTCCTGCAGGTAAAAGGATTTATAATCAGTTCAGCTTTTTCGCTGTCTATTATACAATACAAACAAACAAATCTTTTCTCTTTATAATATTAGTATAGATATAATGGTTTAAAAGAACTATGTATTCAATTTTCGCTTTTTATTCATGTTTATGATTAATGAAAAATGCTTAAAATATCCACTTTGTTCCTGGTGCTCTGAGATGGGACACCAGCACGTGTAGCATGACGAATTCGAGAACGTTTTGTCTACACTCAAATGTCACTTTTCTCGGGTGCGCCCACACTATATCTCACTCTTGACCCGAGAAACTGACAAATCAGTGTAGACAGAGCGTTTCTCGAGTTTGTCATGCTACGTATGCAGGGACAAAGTGGATATTTTAGGCATTTTTCATTAAGAATATTTATTATTATGTATAATAATTATTATTATGTTTATATATACTCATACTGGTGGCCGCCAGCGACTTCGATCGCGTTTTCCATTATTTCTTCGCTCCTAATAGTTGCAGCGTGATGTAATATAGCCTAAAGATTTCCTCGATAAATGGTCTATTCAACACAAAATAATTTTTCAATTCGAACCGTTTGTTTGTTTGAACGCGCTAATCTCAAGAACTACTCTTGAGATTAGCGCGTTCAAACAAACAAACTCTTCAGCTTTATAATATTAGTATAGATTTCTGTTTTCGCAATGTACTTCATAGATTATTATTATTAAGATTCAACTTTGAAATATCAGTATGTCAAAACAATTTTCATGGAGTAAATGGTGAGTTTCCTCATTAAATACCTTAATTGTAGTATATACCTGAATATTTGAGTGTTGTATCGTGGTACGTCAGGTTGACACGTCACTTCAAAGGTTGGCAGCGATATCTAATCACCTGATGAGTTCACTGGCGGACATAGTCAACTGTCCGTCGGCGGCGGCGAAGCAGGGCGCGTTCAAATGTTTCGCGTCCCTCGGCGCCAACGACGAGGATATCAGGAAGAGGATTATAGAGACCCACGGGCTCATGGTGCATGTGGTCAACGGAATGAATAACCCCGAGCCTTCCGTGAGCAAAAGATTTATTTTTATTACCCAATTACTGCATATCGAAAAGGATAATTGTGATTTAGACTTAATGATTTTTTCATTCACTCCGTCTTTATTTGTTAATTATTGTGATTTCACAATTGAAGTAACTAAAGAATTGGTTTGATCTAAAGATGTATTAATAAAATAGGTCAATTAACTCATTTTAATATATGTTCATGATCCCAAAATTATTTAAATTAAAAGGCAATTATTTACTAAAAATCAATTTCTGAAAATAGCTTCAAAATAAATGAAACAAGAAAATATTCTCATCCAATAATAAATTATGTTTTGTTTGCTTATTAGGTGCGATTGGCAGCAGTGAGATGCTTGCACTCACTGTCGAGATCGGTACAACAGCTGCGGACGACGTTTCAGGTAGTTAATATTATTCAGTTTATTTAAACCAAAAAAAATAAAAATTGCTACATTTAAAATGTAAGTGTATATTATTTATGCAAAATAAAGTTGTGATTTTTGTGGTTTGTGTAATCCAGACTATAGTCTGGATTACAAAAACCGAAACACGAGTGGCTATGGCAGAGCATCGTGTGACATCAAATTTTAATAAACTTAACGTCGACGTCTGTATGCGAGTTTGTTTTGGTCAAGTTTAAAGAAATTTCCCAGTAGTTTTAATTAGTGCTTGTATTAATATCAGAAATGTAGCAAAAATTTATAAATATATATCGCAGTCAGCTGCTTATAATAGCCGTTCAAATGGGCGGCTAATCATTTAATTGAATGGTGTTTCTCGAGTTTGTAAAGTACGTAATGGTTGGATGGTGTGTTAAGGATCACTCTGTGTGGCGGCCGCTGATGCAGCTCTTGAGCGACTCGCCCGGCACAGAACTGCTCACCGTGGGCTCCTCGACACTCTGCAATCTCCTACTTGAGTTTTCACCAGCCAAAGAACCAATGTTAGATCAAGGTCTGTTATATACTGCACTCTGCATATTCTGTATATACATGCACTGTGTTTACGCTTTCGTGATCTGAATGGGTAACTATAGACATACATTATCGCCTACGAATTCGTATTCGTGATGTATCTGGCATATAGAAACGTAACTATATAACTGCTTAACTAAAATTAGCTTTAATGTAACTGACTTAAGACTCAATTTCTATAGCATTACGCTAAAGATAAAACAACCGAGAAATTAAACAAACAATAACAATACGATGATGATGATGATGCGATTATATTATTTTGAACCGTAATATATAAATTCATATTTCAAAAATATAATAACCGCCCATATATAAATTCATATTTCAAAAATATAATAACCGCCCATTGCACAACTTTAATTAATTATTTTTTTTGTTCCTTGCAATGTATTTATTTTTACTTCCTTTTTTTGTGCAATAAAGTGTTAAATAAATAAATAAAATAAATAGTCATTATACCTCATGTATTCATAAGTTTTAAGACGAATTAAAAGTTGCGTAACTTTTTAAATAATTAACTTATATTTCTAAAATTGTCAGTAACCATTAAATAGACAATAATCAACAATAAAATGTATATTTTATTCAAAATGACCGCCCTTGTTTAATACAGGCCCTTAGACGATTTGGCCAGTCATCAATGGCGGCACGAATCTTTTCTAGCGGAATTCGCTTTGCTTCTCGAACAAGGGTTCGCTTCAGTGACTCCAAGTTTGGGTGGGATTTTCGGCAGGCCCTGAGGCTCTAATTCAGTCCATAAAGAATAATCCAGCGCGTTGAGGTCGTGGCTGGAGGAGGGCCATTCGTCCGCCGCGATGAAGGCCGGTACATTCTCCCTCAACCAAGCTTGGAGTGGTTTTTGCCTTATGGGATGGCGCCGAGTCTTGCTGAAAAACCCTATCCTTATTGTGAAATAACGTATCAGACAGGGGTTTCACTACGGGCTCTAAAATGTCACTCTAATAATTCTTGGCTTTCACCTTAACACCTTGCTGGCTGGAAAGGAGCGGAGTGACACCTTCATACGAAATTTCCTCACTATATCCACCATACCATCACACTAACCGGATGATGAGTGCGCGAGACATTCCGTGCAGAAACTGGGGCATCTTTGCTACTTTTAGCGTACACTTTGTTTATTTGTCGGTTGAACTTTTCTTCGACAGTAAAAAATTTCTCGTCGGTGAAGAGTATCTTCCTGGCGTCATGTCGCCTCAGCAGCAATGGACAACTTTCGCGTCGTAACTTACGAAGACAATCGTCTAAAAAGTAGACTTTTCTGCGGGCCTATACGTTACCTTAAGATCACATTTCAGTATTCTGTCCACTGAAACGCGCGAAATATTAGTCTGCAGAGCAAGTTTCTTCTTAGTGCGATATGGATTTCGGCGAAGTCGCTCTCGGATGATTTTGATGTTCGCAGGCATGTACTGCTTTATTGTGTACCAGACGAAGTTATGGCTTACAGGAAAACTTTGTAGCTCGCGGAAAATCTGCATCTTTTTTTTTCCCGCCTTAAATAATGAAATGACAGTTGCGCGTAATTATTTCGTTCCCTCCATCACGAGAATATATAAACAAATGAATTTGCGATACAAATAAAGTTAACATTCCAAATTCAAAATAGGTAAAAAAAATAACAACCAGTAAAAGTAAAAATTTGTCTCAAAACATATGAACACACGAAGTACTTAAGTACCAGTAAGTAATGCTTTAAATACTATTGATTAATTTTTAGGAGCCGTTGAAATGTTATGCAATTTGACAAAAAGGCCGGAAGCGGCGTTGAGACTGAATGGAATATGGGCGCTTATGAATATGGCTTTTCAGGTGATAAATTTTTTATATAAATATAAGGCTTTTCTATAATGACGTTATGAAATATATTATATCATATACAATTTAATGCTCAATTTTAAATGACAAGTAAATCGTCAGGTTGGACCATGTATTTCAGGTGAGTAGTATTTTTAGTAATTTAACGCTCATAGAAACAATTCGTATGTTTTTCTTCAACTAGGCCGAACAAAAAGTGAAGCAACGCATCCTCTGTTGCTTGGGTACCGAACAGATGTTTCGGTTGCTTGGGGACAGTGACACCCGCGTCATAATGAAGACGCTGGGTTTATTGAGAAACTTACTGTCCACGAGACAGCATATTGACGCTATAATGAGCGAGTATTCGTCACAAGTTATGCAGGTGAGATTTGATTGTCATTATTTATTTATTTATGTATATGGATGACCAACAGCTAAATATCACAAAATTAAAATTGTGTTTATTATTTATACTAGATTTTTAAAATAGGTCAGTTTTTGTAAATTTATTTCAGAGTAATTAAAACAACAACAAAAAAAAAAATACATAGAAAGTAGATTTATTTATATTATTTCAATTTATTTTCTTATGGTCGATATTACTTTACTTTGAATCAATGTGTTAATCACTTATGTAGACATAAAATAAATTGATTTTGCACTTGACCCCTTCGCAATCTAGTTGTCCATGTTCGCTTGAGCGAGATTGGTCGTATTTTATGTCACTTTTTTGTTTGGCCTGTATATTTCGTCTAATTGTTAAAAAAAAATATTATAGAAATTAATTTGATACCATGAAAGTTTTAACATAATAAGAGAAGTTTAGTCGCATTATAGAGGTTTTAAAAAAGATTACAGTTTTAATATGTTATTATCAATTGTAATTTTTCTATAATTTATGGTGTACAATAAAGAATTTATTCATTCATTAATTCAAATAGTTGTACATTTACAAACAAAAGGATAGGAGTCGTAGTTTTAAAATGTTCAATTTCCGAAATGTCAAATCAAATATCATGATGGGTTTATTGAATATGCAGATAGATAATATGTAGCTAAGTTATTATTGTTTATTATTTTTAAGACGACTAAGAGCACTTATTCAACTAGCTTTTACACATCAGCAGTATTTAATAAAGCCATCAAGATACTATATTGCATTTGGAAATCGTTGAACATTTTAGGAATTGGACATTCTGAACTGCCAGGTCAGGAAAATTTGCACTCTATAATGTTATGCTTTATATGTTATTTATATGTTTGTCAGGCTGTGATAGTGGTGTTAGAGGGGTCGTATCCTGCCGAAGTAAAGGAACAAGCGCTATGTATCCTTGGTAATATTGGTGATGGAGAGAAAGCTAAAGATCTCATAATGGCTAACGAGGATGTGCTTCGAAAACTGGTTGATTACTTGGTGAGGAGATTTTTGAAATAATGTTATAGGTACTATAATTGACCAATAGTTTCTGTCCATGTCCGATGTTAGATTTATCTAATCTCGGGGGATCTGGCTTGAAGATATAGATTACTCACTTTTAGTTCTTCTTTTAATTTACTCGTGTAAGTTTTTAATAAAATAAAATGTGCTTATTTAGTTTGAGATGTTTCTGATATGAAGGCGCATCCGGAGAGCAAGTTGCAGGAGGCGGCGTTATTCGTGGCGGGTAATCTGGTGTGGCGCGGGGAGGCCGGCGCCGCCGCGAGACAGGCTCGACTCGCGGAGCTCGGAGTGCTGCGTGCACTGAAGCTGCTGCGAGTGAGACACGACGCCGCACACCTACATGACAAGTGTGTATATTGTACACTACACTACACTACACTAGCACATGCCGCGAGACAGGCTCGACTCGCGGAGCTCGGAGTGCTGCGTGCACTGAAGCTGCTGCGAGTGAGACACGACGCCGCACACCTACATGACAAGTGTGTATATTGTACACTACACTACACTAGCACATGCCGCGAGACAGGCTCGACTCGCGGAGCTCGGAGTGCTGCGTGCACTGAAGCTGCTGCGAGTGAGACACGACGCCGCACACCTACATGACAAGTGTGTATATTGTACACTACACTACACTACACTAGCACATGCCGCGAGACAGGCTCGACTCGCGGAGCTCGGAGTGCTGCGTGCACTGAAGCTGCTGCGAGTGAGACACGACGCCGCACACCTACATGACAAGTGTGTATATTGTACACTACACTACACTACACTAGCACATGCCGCGAGACAGGCTCGACTCGCGGAGCTCGGAGTGCTGCGTGCACTGAAGCTGCTGCGAGTGAGACACGACGCCGCACACCTACATGACAAGTGTGTATATTGTACACCTACACTACACTAGCACATGCCGCGAGACAGGCTCGACTCGCGGAGCTCGGAGTGCTGCGTGCACTGAAGCTGCTGCGAGTGAGACACGACGCCGCACACCTACATGACAAGTGTGTATATTGTACACTACACTACACTACACTAGCACATGCCGCGAGACAGGCTCGACTCGCGGAGCTCGGAGTGCTGCGTGCACTGAAGCTGCTGCGAGTGAGACACGACGCCGCACACCTACATGACAAGTGTGTATATTGTACACTACACTACACTACACTAGCACATGCCGCGAGACAGGCTCGACTCGCGGAGCTCGGAGTACTGCGTGCACTGAAGCTGCTGCGAGTGAGACACGACGCCGCACACACAAGGTGTATTTTGTACAATACACTACACTACACTACACACACTAGCACATGCCGAGTACGCATTACGCCGTTGGTACACCTATGCAATCGCATGCGAATTTGAAACATTTGCGAAATCTTGTCAGTTGTATGGTAATGTTTCGTATGTGTTTTACTCACTTTATTATTAACTCGATAAAATAGCTGCGTCCTTGTCAGTACGGTTTCGCAGTCAACTGCACAAGGTTACACAGACGCACATGTTTCGCATTCAGGGTTGCTACCCGACCCGATTTCTGATGATTATCCGAACATCACGAATTTTGTTTCTAAAAAGGTGGCAATCCTATTCGCAGTCGCATACTTTCGCAGATATTTCGCATTCGCAAGCGAATGCATCGGTGTGCTAACGGCGTTCGGAATCGAATACGTATGAGTTAATGCCTGTTTTCACTTATATCACATTTCATCTCTATAGACTAGTCCTTAAAATTTAATTTTTCTTGGCAACCGAATTTTGATTCGCCTACTATTATGAGATAATTCTACCCATATATTTCTATGCGCCCTATAATTATTCAAGCCCTTATAATTTGTCACAGCTAATTATCTCCCGATTTGATTTCCAAGTAGTTGACTTAAAGTTGAATGTTTAAGGAAATTGTTCTTTACAAGAAACATAGTAAGAAGTCTGTAGTTTTTAAAACTTATATTTGTAAGCCATTCTTTGTTCGCAAGTTCGACTCGCTCATCTTTCTTAACTCTTCTGAAATATTTTTAACTAACATGCATATTTTATTTCAGGGTTAAGACTGCACTTGCTCAATTCAACGAGTTTACATAATATCACAGGGGTCCGAAACGTAAGCGTCTGAAGCGAAACTGAGTGTTATAGTGACGCTTGTGATTTAATTTTAGTCTACGCATAGTGAAACCAGTCAAAACACTTAACGTTAAGTGATGTAAATAGCTAAGTACGAAACGACGATAGATGGGTGAGGAGTGTTGATATAATTTATTTTAATAATTTATCAAGCGTTGACGCAATTCTCAATTCGATATTACGAATTGTCGAATTTAATGGTAATGTTTTGATATCATTTTAGCGCCCTAGCTAAGCCTTTTATTAGCGAATAACAAATTAATTATTTTTTAATAAAATTTTGAATATCAAAAAGACCCCTTTAATCATGCGTTGGCCTTACACTTACGGCTTGGACTTCTGAGGGCCATAGGACAATGTTATTGATATAATTATTGCTCAATGGACATTAGAAATTCGCCCGATACCATGTTTTCATCTCAATTTAACTACCGCTTTTATATGTAATACTAAGATTTTGGGATATATTTATCCCATTAGTGAAACTCAAACGAAAGAGGTGCAAGTTGACCTCGCAAATGATATTTTATGACGCTAGGTAATGTAGTCAGACTACACTAGAATAATGTAAGTAGTTGTTGGTTAATAAGTAATGAAATACTGTTCTCACACATATTTGAAACCAAACCAAAATGTGTTAAGATTTATCTCATATAAATGAAGCGGTACGCAGTAACGAAAAATAATGCTAATTTTTAATGTGTAATTTAATTAGCATGCTACTTTTAGCAGACCATGTGCTTTTGTTATTTGCTAAAATGACATTTTAAAATGATTACGTTAATAGCTGTGAAAAATTAGCATTAGCAGTTAGTTCGCAGCACGAAACAGCGTCGGTATATATTTTTGCATGATAACAGAAGTACACGAATACAGACGATTTAATTAGCAATCATTTGTTTGGTAACCATTATTAATGTAATTATTGGTAACGGATCTTTAGCTATTTATTTATTACCGCGAATCCTAATTATTCAATTACTAATATGCGATGAAATTTATCGTAGAATGCCCCTTATTTTTGTGCAATATTCATCAAACATTAATAATATTCTGTCTATGATTGATTGATCGCCATATGAGCCATGATTGAGAGGTAGCTTTTGATAAATAAGTAAATATACTTTAAATATATAAATGGGATTAAGTAGAAACGCTTGGATTTGCGAAAAGATTATAATTAAATGAAAATGTTTTACTATGCTTAATTTTTTTTTTTCACTGAATAGTGTAACGAATAATTTTGGAATGTTTCGTGCATGGAAAAATACTCATTTGTGATGAATTTGAATGTTATTGTCAATCTTACGAAATATAAATACAAGTTCATTGTGACCCCGTTGTGTCGCTTGAGACGCTTTTATACGTGATCAAGTCGCCAAGAATGTAAATTTATTTTGTTTATGTGTGTAGCCATAGGGCTAGACAGCCTTTACGGCTATGAACTATTTATCACTATATTGTCTGGCTTATAGATACCGATGTAAGTTTTATTAATATTTGTGACATTTACACATATTTACGAATGACAAATGATGATAACATATTTACTATTTAGGGTACTAAACTGAAAAGCGATTCTTTAGTATAAACTCAACCCATGAATAACACGCGCAACTCTAATAAAATAATGCCTTATTGCACTTCAAAAAAGGATTAATATCGATAACAAAATTGTCACTCTTTACACAAAAGCGTGTTTCTATAAATCTACTTTATAAATCTACGGATTGTCTTGTGGTTTAAGGATCGTTTATATATACAGAAATGGACATTGAGAGAGTTAGAAAAATCGGCCACGGTTCTTGTCTGTTAGCGTCTGTACATGTCTGTGGTGTCGTATTACTAAAGATATAAATATGTGAATATACACTATAGTACTGTCGTGGTCAACACGTAGTATCTGCTGGAGTGGCCGATGTAGTTTTCCTCGCGATATCTCGCCATATCTCCCTGTCAATCGACATCTTTGAGCACTCGTATAGAGGGGTCCTTCTATACACCTATAGTAGAATCAATAGAAGGGTATTTTGTATGTGACGGTACGTGTCCAGCGCGCTCAATACTTGTAGATGTAAACGATCCTATTATGTCATTTTGAAAAAACTGTAGATACCAGAGACTTTATATGCTATGTTAAGGGAGACAAAGTGTGTATAGCTCGGCTATAAGGAGACTTCCCGTCGTGATTACGTTCAAGTCACACGTTTTTCGTCAGGTTATTAAAATATGACAATATTCCTCAGTTGTTTTTGAACTATTAATGCATTAAGGTTTAAAACTAAATGAAGACAATTGACACTTGTGTATATTAAACCACGACGTACATATTTAATTGTGCGAGTGTGTCATGTTAATAATAAGTGCATATTTTTTTCTGGTTTATTTTAATCAAATGATATTTATAGCAATGAGAATGTTCCCATTGCGTATTATTTATGTATAAATCATGGTTTCTAAAAGTGGGGTAAGTGAACCCTAGGGTTTCGCGACAAGAATTAGGTAATGGTGGATCGATGACTTAACAATAAAAATGGAAAATTGACTCAAATTGCGACAATAGCATGCCCACCCGTCACATTACTATAAAAGGGATATTTCTTTTGCTACTGTATTTGTTTCCTTTTATTTGAATAAAAACCTTATTTTCTTTAACAACCACTTTTTAATTTCTTTGGGGGTAGGGGGTGGATTTGATTGTTAGTATAAGGGTCGCTGTCATCTACAATCTTTTACGGGGGTTCGTGGTAGAGCCAAGTTTGGGAAGCCTTGGTTTATATGAATAATAATAATTTTGGTATCACATCATAAATAAATTTTTGTTTTGCTAAATATTATTTGTGAAATCTGATTTAATGCTAATTACTACTTTTTGATTATTACAATCTTATTAAAAATAAACTGTAATTATTATCGAAAATCTCCCGAGGTATTAACCTCATGGTCATGTGAACTTGTTCTCATAATAGGACGTATTACTACAACTTTCTGTCGCCAGAATGCAGCATTAGCACAATAGTAAACAGGTTTTTGTAAACATCAGCCAACATTTGCGTAATATTCCCTATTAGGAGAATCCTAATTTTGTATGTGTGCGTCTTTGTCTTTGCGTTACCGTCAACAGGCTGTAATAGATTATTATTTTTTGTTAAATATATAATGAAATGCTTTATTTACCCATAATTGTATAAATATAACGACATTGTTTTCAAAATCTGTAAAACATAATATTGTTTATGTTCTAATTATATTTTGTCACGATAAATAGATATATTGAATACTTTATTTACAAAAAGTAGATGAATTATAAAACGTATTCGTAAAGGTTTAGGTGCCATTTGCGTAATCATGGTTTAAAATATTACGGTTTATTCAGTTTATTTCTGACTGCAATTGTCTAATTATATGTAAAAATGTCTGACACTTAACTCTTGAAAAAAAAATGTAATGCATTATTTATGATGGAATTATCTACACTTTTCATGTTAATTAAAAAAGAATTAATAACGATAATGTTGTTTTATTCATACTCAAGTTTAATAGAAAATACGGGAATGCAAGTATTTTCAATGGGAAAAAACTAACATTTTCTGGATACTGGATGACAGGATTCCACATACCTATTTATTACGTAGTCCGCGCCGCTTCTCCCTATGCGAGACGGCTGTGACGACGGCTAATCAGTTCCATATTAAATCATACATGAAGTATGGGTTATAAACATTTAAAGTGCGTCTATGATATGAGCGTATGCGATCATCTGTTCTCTCTTTTTAAGGTCCCAATATTGAGTAAAAAACGGAACCACTACCATGACTCCGCTCTCCGTCCGTCAGCTAGTCTGTCTGTCACCAAGCTGTATGAACGGTTGAAATTTTTACAGATGATGTTTTTTTGTTACCACTATAACTTACAACAACAAATAACATACCAACAAAAATAGAATGACATACCTAAATGTTTATGGAGGCTATGAATACAGCAAAGGTGTTTTTTTTGGCTCGATTCTGGTACGGAACTCTTCGCGCGCGTGGGCGATTCGCACTTGATCGTTTTTTTTATGAATACAAGCTGTCAATTTTCCCCATTTGTTTTAAGTGTTAATTATGTAAAATTTTGATAATGTCATTTTGTCATGATGCCTGATGTTCTTCTCTGTTAACCCCCAAACAATATAAGTTACTTTATGCCCCCAAACTTTATGGGTTACGTTGACTTTGATCAAGGTTTTGCATTGCATCAGCATCAGTTCGAGGAGACCTCTTGACCTTGCTCTTGATGGGTGCTAGACGCCAGTGTCTGCCCTTGAAGATTGTCACACAGCTAATATAAAACTCCTTTGAAAAGTAACCTTTATTTATCGTAATTAATTTTGTAGGTAGCTGTCACCGCAAAGTTGCTTGCTGCCTTAGGTAAAATTAATAAAATATAACGAGCTACTCAATACTCATTGATAACGCCGGCAATTATGAGGAAGAAACAAAAATAAATTTAGTCATATTAATTTCGTCAGCGTTTTCAATTCTGAGAAACTTAGATAACAAAAGCTTTATTATATTTTCGGCCGGTGCTCACCCGCGTGGAAAACGGTTATTATCATATTTTCATCTCTTATTTCAACCTCTAAGCCTATTTTAAAAACTATCCCACTATCTCACTCTATCTTGGATAACATCATCAGGAGAATAACGTTAAACCATAATTAAAATAAGACCTAGTTGAATTTTAGCACCATTCCTTTCTAGCTTTATATCGGCCTAGCACTTTTGAAGTTTATCGATTACAGTTCGTCATTATAATAGAAATCTACTTATAATAATAGACCGCCTACATATTATTGATTTTTTTATAAATTAAAAACGGTTTAATTGCCTATTTCTCTAATTATTAAATTTAAATGATTTGTTATAATAGAAAAATAAGACAATTTTACGTTTTACTTTGACCAATAAATCTTTCTA